CCAACATCCTCCCCGAATACAGCACCCTTAAAAACCCAAGCCTGCCTCTCCTTGGGTGCGACTCCCCTGGCCCATCTTTCCGGAACCACAGGACCTCACCCAGGAGTTTCTCCCCCAGTAAATGCTTGGTTTATACCGGCCCTTTGTCCTGTGCCTCTTTCGGTATCTTCAAACATTACCCTCACTTCCTCTATTAACATTAGATCATACCCTTTTAGTTCACCGCATTTCTAAATGACTGTCCATGCTTTGTTAAACATAAACATAAGAATAGACAATTTCCCCTGGAGCTTTGAGTCTTCATTCTAAAGGCTTCTATGTCATGTAAAACTATGATCAAATAAATTTATATGCCTTTTCTCCTATTAATCTGCCTCTTGCCAGTAATTTTAGTAATTTTCAGTGAACCTTCAGAAGGCAAAGATCAAGTTTTCCTTCAGTCCTTACAATACTATAAACTGTGTGTTCAAACTTTGATAATTTTAGAGCATATTATTGTGCTGTTTAAAAACGATGTTTTGTCTGGGCATGGTGACTCATGTGTGTAATTTCAGCACTTTGGGAGGCCAAGGCAGGAGGATTGCTTGAGCCCAGGAGTGCAAGACCAGCTTAGGCAACATAAGGGGATCTCATCTCTACAAAAATCCAAAAAATTTCCTGGGTATGGTGGTGTCCACCTGTAGTTCCAGCTACTCAGGAGATTGAGGTGGAAGGATCTTCTGAGCCCAGAAGGTTGCAGCTGTGGTGAGCAAGGCTCATACCACTACACTCTAACCTAGGCAACAGTGTGAGACCCAGACTGGAAAAAAAAAAAGAGATTATTAGAAGACTTGAAAATTTCATAAAATTATTTACTATTAAGAAATGCTTACTCTGAATCCAAGGATTATGTTTTCCCTCAGAATACTTTAGACACTTTTATGGCTCTCAGAAAAGCATGAACCACGTGGGAGGGCCACTGCTAGGAAGGTGTGTGTGTTGGAGTTGAGGATGCTGGGAGTGGAACCTGACAGAGAATTCATTAGTCATTGACATGCAAATTGCCTTTTCAGAGTGGTAAATATTTGTATTCATTTGTTGAAGGAACATTAAATGAACACCCTACATTTCTTGCCATATAGCAGATACAGCTAAATGAATCCAGGCTTTCACTGTGTGCTTGGAGGCTTTGAGAAAATGATGGTGCTGCTGATAGTTGACCTGGAAACGATTTCCAGCTCTGTCATTGCCAGCATGCTGTTAGAGTCAGAGTTATATTTTACTCAGTGCTTCCTCGTTCACATCTCTAAGTTCCTCAGTCATTTAGGTCATATGTGTACATCAGTTCTTCTGGATAGCTTTTTGATTTAGGCACTGTTTAAATCTTATGATTGTTTACCAACGGTTTTTAGTTTACAGTTTTAGTTTTTTTTCATTATTAGAACTTTCTTCCAACTCTTTTAAATGTGGTTAATTTGGTGGTAGTAAGGGGGGCAGAATTAGTAAAGAAATAATAGGTTAATACATCATTTCAAATGATGTATGTTTGAGGTGAACAGTGGATTCTTTGGAATAAATTGCTGAAGTTTGTGATGTGTGTAATATTATGTGGACCTCTGTAGAAGAGGTTTAAATCATTAAAGTTCAGTTGAACTCTTCAGACATCTTTCTTTAAAAATGCTTTGTAGTTCATCCTTTTCCCTGAGCTAGGCAGGGCTTCCTAATGCTAAGAGTGAATTATAGAGGTTTAGAATGTGTGAATGATTTTTAGATGATCTGTCATATGAATGACCCATGCGCATAGTCTCTCCTGAATAATCAGGATTTGTACATGTTTGCCTCCATTTATTATTGCCTTTGTTTGAATTGAGACTTTGTTTTTTGTCACAAGAAAAATATTTTTCTTAAATGCTTACATCTTTTAAAGATGATGATGGGGAAAATAATAGTGATGGATTATTAAGCCAGTACAAATGGAATGAATGGATAATTTGTGAGCCTAATATTTTTGGAAAATTATAAAGCCACATATGCTAATTTTTTGAAATATGCACATTATGCTAGAATTTTTTTGTAGGAGGTAATTTGTTCTTAGCTTATTAATTTTCTCACCTAAAAATAAAAGCCATCATAGATGATTTTTAACGGGATGTTTTGAAATTCTTCAGTTGCTTGAGTTTAATTCTCTGTTTAATTGTCCCAATTGCTGCCTCCCAGTGCTCTGCACCCAGTCCCAGTGGGAGGAGGAATGTGAGGCCTGGATCCACACTTGGGGGAAAAGACTTAAAATGTTATCTTTGCCAGGGGTGCTTGAATTTAAGTTTTGGCTCTTTATTTATTTATTTATTTTTATTTTTAATTTGAAGCAGGATTTATTGAGAGGACAGAAAAGCTCCCACAGTGGGAAGGGACCCGAGGGGGTTGCCCAAGTTTTGGCTCTTTAATAGACTGAAAAGAATAACTCAGATTGTGGACTTTGGGACAATTCAGTGGGGCAGGCATGTAAGAGGAGGCAAATTTCCAGGGGCATTCAATTATACAAACCACCCAATGGCTATTTTTCTAAAACAAGCATTAGGCAATATTTATAAAACTAGCATCTTTTTAAAATTATGGACAAAATGTTTAGAGTTTTTATGGCTGCTGCTTCAGGTTAAAGGGGAAAAGCATTTTATTCTTCTTTAGTAGATAAAAAAATCAAATAAGAGGATATAACAGCTAATTACAGCTCATTCATAAGCAGTGCATTTAGTTTTGTTTCTGTGTTTCTTATCAATGACCTCATGTGGAGATGAAAAGCAATACGTAAACGATAAGAACTTCATTTGTGATGTAATCTAATATTTGGGAGACAAAGATCTGATATTAGTCATGCTCTCCCACCTTTTCCCCTTTTAAAATTATAACGGGCATGTTTGCCTAGATAAAAAAGAAAGTTTAATTAGTATTGATATCAGGATGTTAATTTTTTTAAAAAGGGAACGTATGGAATCCTTATTTGAAGATAGAAGCACATGCTGTGCTCAGTGGAGGCTAAAGCAGCCTGATGGACTTTCTCACTATTTAGGTGTAGAAATCTTGTTAACCCAGGACTGGCTCAGTGTGTTCAAATATATTTGGGGATTTTTTTCTTCTTCTTTAGGGTCAGTTCAACTTCATGGCGTCAAAAAAATGAATTTAAAGGCACAGTGGAAGTATATGCAAGCAGAGTCTGGGGTACGGTTTGTAGCAGTCACTGGGATGATTCTGATGCCTCGGTCACTGTCACCAGCAGTAGCTGGAGTGAATTAGTTCGCCCATTCCTGACCAACTCAGTCTGCTGGTATCTCAGAATGATGGGGGTCACCCATCATGGCTGTGGAAAGGTTGCATCCTTTTTTACTGTCGCTTTCCTCCATCTCAATTTTCACAGAAGGGCTATAAGGAAAGGGCCTCAAATGGAAGGAATGGATTTTCTCACATGCAAATATACCACATATTTCTATTCTCGCAAAACTAGAAGATGGGCAAATACTAAGTGAACAGAAGTTAAAAGCATCTTTGTCTTTGTCTTTAACAAAATACAAAGGCCTAGAAAGCAAATAACATGATTCTAAGAATTATAATTTCTCAGTAGTCCTCACAGCCTTAGGTTGCTGTCATTTGCTTTCAGTTTTCTGCTTTTAGCCACCCACACTTTCCGTTTTGTGTGTGTGTAAGGGGGGCGATGTTCTACCTGTGCTCTTAACCTTAATGTTAAGGGGTGATGTCCTGGGCCTTAGATTTCTGTGCTGAGGAGGTCCTGCGAGAGATGGTCAGCGTCCATCAGTCCTAGCAGTGTCTGGCCATCCTGGGCAGCTGTTGGCCTGGGAATTGGCTCCTCCATAACCCTAGCCACAGTCTTAAAAATAATTCAGTGAGTTGGGTGCGGTGGCTCATGCCTGTAATCCGGTACTTTGGGAGACTGAAGTGAGAGGATTGCTTGAGCCTAAGGGCTTGAGACCAACCTGGACAACTTGGCAAGATCTCGTCTCTACAATAAATCAAAAAATTAGCCGGCTGTGGTGGCGCGTACCTGTGGTTCTAGCTACTTGGAAGGTTGTGGTGGTAGGATAGCCTGAGCCCAGCAGGTTGAGGCTGTGGTGGCCGTGAGCATGCTACTGCACTCTAGCCTGGGTGACACAGTGAGACTCTGACTAAAAAATAAATAAATAACTCAGTGTATATTGACATTCATCAGTCTCCCATCTACATGGCTGGTGCCATAGAGTTTTACCAGGAGCAAAAGACTTCATTTTGGAACAAAACATTTTATTTTTATTATTTTTATTTATTCTTCTGTTTTTGTGTCTCATTTTTTTAAGTGTACTTACCATATGTTTTTCTTGTCCTTTATCATCGGAGAGATTTAAGAAAGCATGGAAAATATCTTGTTATTAAAAAAGCATGTCTGAAAGACTGAGCAAAAAAAGGCAAGCAATTTACAAATATTTTGGATTATAATCACTGAGTCATAGTATCTAATGTGATGACACAAGATGAAGAGGTATGACTTTAATTTGCCAGATTCTTCTGTCTTCCCACTGGGAAGGTGAGGAAATGAGTGTCTAGTAAAGGCAAACCTTGAAGACCTAAGTTTTGCTCAGACTTTCGAAGCTATCAGAGCAGTAAATAGGGTTAATGTATAAAGTTGAAATTAACTAATTATTTTTTAAAATGAGAGTTGGTATAAATCAGGATGAAAGGAGTAAGGCCAAAGCCTATAAAGTGCTATGGTGTTTGGAAATGTTAATTACTGATTTTATCACGAATATTTAGTCTGGCAAACAGTCATTGGCAGGTGAGCAGGTCACAGAGAATGTTGATTTGATGCCTTTTCCTTAAAAAAAAAAAAAAAAGAATTATGTAGAGACAGGGTTTCTTTATGTTGCCCAGGCTAGTATCCAACTTCTGGCCTCAAGTGATCCTTCTGCCTCTGCCTCCCAGAAGGCTGGGATTAAAGGTATAAGTCACTGCGCCTGGCCCTGATGCCTTTTCCTTTGAGGATCAGGAAATGTGACAAATTTATAGGCTGGTGTCAGTTTCTTCCTTTTGTATGTACCTACATGTGCTTTTATTACCCCTGTAAATCAAAAAGGAATACATTTCCCATGGAACACAAAGAAAATAAGAGCACTAGAGTGGAGATGTGAACTGTAATTTGGCTATGAGTCTTTGGTTGATGAAAGTACGTAACTATCATTCTGCAAACATAAACTTCAGATAAGTAGATTCAATTGCTTATGCTGCATTGTCTCTTAGTAGTCCATTAAAAAAAAAAACCAGCTTTATTGCAGTGAAGACACATTCATATTCTAGATATACCTAAATGTTTGCTGTTTACTTGATTGAAACTGCAGCATGGAGACAATTGTAGGGATTACCAGGTTAATCAGATAAGCATTTAATCTTTTTAAAATTTAATATCAGTTTGTACACATTCGAGGTTGCCTATAAAAATATGTGGATTGGGCTAAAATAGATGGGCTAAAAGTAGAGCCCATCTGCATGTTATTATTTTCATTTTTGCTTTTTTTAAATACTGTTCTGGTTTTAGGAAAGACATGCATGTTATTATTTGCCTAATCAGTTTCCAAGTCTTACTAGCAAATGCTATATACAGTATAAGGTTTTAAACATTATAAATGGACTGCCTCTCTTGATATTATTGTGCTTAATGTAGTAGTAATAATCATTTTGAAAATCCTAGCCTAATATTGGCATTGGAAAGAATCTTCAAGCTTCTAGACTTTTGACATGTTAGAAGTAAGAGTCTTAGAGGGATTTGCAGCTTGGGGTAAGTTTTAGCTGAGTCCAGACTGGAATCCAAGCCTCACTGGACCTCGTAACACACTTTTTGCACAGAGTCACCCAGACTCCCTTTTTATGTCTGCAGTACTTGGTCATTTTCTTCTAAATCAGTTCTGTATGTATGTAAAGGCACATTCAAATATTTATTCAAGGCTGATAAAAAGATTGCCATAGGTAAGCAACCCAAGTTCTGATCTGCTGTTTAACTTCCTTGAAACTTATGTAATCCAGTGTGTTTATTCTTGTTTCTATCTTTCTTTTCTTCTACATCCACCTTTATTGATTTTTTTCCATCTTAAAAAATTCAAATGCTTTGATAAAAAAACTTGCCTACATTTGATAAACCGAACACCGATCGTTGTACTTCCAGAGGGGAAGGAATAGCAAAACAAACCCTGTTTCAGGACTGGGCCTTATTCCCATTTATTGGAGCAATGTTCGTTGCCGAGGAGATGAAGAAAATATACTGCTTTGTGAAAAAGACATCTGGCAGGGTGGGGTGTGTCCTCAGAAAATGGCAGCTGCTATCACGTGTAGCTTTTCCCATGGTAAAAAAAAAAAAACAAAACAATTTGTTCTCTTGTCTTACTTTCATTGTGTTTTAAATATGAATCCACATGATAAAAATGTCTTAGTTAAATTCTCTCCTTAAAAAGCTTAGATACGTAAGTCTGAATTAAAATAGTCTGTCTTTAATATGTGTATGTCTAACAATTTGAATTTCATTTGATGTTCCAATAGTACCTCATTTTTAACACATTTTCTACTTTATATAATTTGCTTAGAGAAATACTCTATATGTAATATAGTGTATTATATACTGTATATGACACACTTCTTTTAGTAGCAGACAATCATGATTGAATTAAGATGGAAAATCATCTTGACATCTATTCTAAAATACAGCAACTACAACAAAATATTTTCAATTTGTGTAAAGTAATATCCTTATGGCATCAGTGTTCTCCTTGGGCTTGTGGATAGCACATTCCCTGAAAATGAATTGTTAGCTTAGATAAGGGCATCTTTCAAACTCGGTATACTAGGTATGTGGTGATTAGCAATAGGGTTTAAGGTCACAGTTATGTAGATGTTAACTACAGGAAGGAACAGCTGCCTTTTAAGATGTTGAATGGGTTTGCTGGGTAGCATGGTATTTTTTAATGTATGACCAAAACCTGAGGATACCATCCTGTTACAGAATTCTTTTTTGCATTTTCCTTGGATATAGCAACATGACCACACGTCCTAGGACCTGAAATGGTACCAGTAAGCCCAGGGCAGTGGTTTCTGTTTGAGTACAAGTGTCGGGGGAGAATAAAAAGCTCCCACCACAAAACACACAAAGACCCAGTGTAGAGTAATTCCTGTGAATTGACTGGAAGAACCAATGGAATACGATGCAGGTGTGTGCTGTGAGAGCTGCGCTTCTCTTTTGGGTGGGAGAGGTGTATGTTATTTTTGCTGTCTTGTAAGTTTTCTCTTTTCTTCTTTTGATTCTCTGCCTTTGGGCAATGCTACTCTGCCAGGCCCATGTTTGTATAATGCTGCTTCAATGGTAATGTGAATTGAGTCCAACAATACACTGCTTTTTGTAGATTGTTGGTTTTACTCTGTGTTCAATCTAATTGATAAAATGTTTAACATTTTCAAGTAGTGTAGTACAATTTTGAAAACAGTATTTATTTTTCTTTCTGGATATCTATTTAGTATTTTTTACTCCTTCCACCCTCTATAGTTATATAATTATGTTTATATTCTAGTTGTAAGGATAATTTATGGTCCTTACAACCATAATATAGTTTTATATATGGTTTTATGTAATAAACATCTATAAAATATAGGAACTATGATAAATTAGAAGTGAGAAAGAAAAAGGTTTCTCTTATGATAGATTAAAGGAGAATGTGAAATTGAATAGCTAAAATCAGCAAACATTGAGTCTGCCTTAAGGGACGGTGATTGATCTTTAATATGCATTCTTTAAGTTTGGAAATTACATTTAGTGTCTTGTCATCTAGTTCCTGTAGATTTTTCAACATTTACAAAGTAGAAGATTGTGTACAAGTATTGGATACATGAAATATCAGTAATCTAAATGCAAATATGTGAGGAGTTTTATATATCTATAACTTAAGTATGAGTCAATTGCTTTACTGAATTTTCTTTCAAATGTTTTTTGGGAGGCTGATGTTATTAACTAAATTTTGTCCTTGTGCTTTTTATGTATTTTATACTTTAACACTTATTTATCCAAACAGAGAGAAACATGTTTTAAAATAAAACACAACATAAAAAGATGAAAAAGTGGTATGCCATAGATTAAAATTATTTATGTTCTAGATAATTTTAAATATACTCTTAAAAAATTTTGGTTTTTTACTTTCTTCAACTTTACCACATGGGGGAAATATATTAACTTAAGAAATGAATACTTTTTTTCTATATTTTCCAAACCTTTTAAAGGGAAGATAAACATCATAATGTGTGAAAATTATAAGCATATTACCATCATTCAGCTGTGTATATTAAATCTATCATTATCCTTTTACAAATTATAAGTGCTAGCCAACTTATGTAAGTAAACCATATTATAAATATCAGAATGCATGTATATGCAAATATACACTAATCTGAATCTCTGTTACAAAACTCATGTATGACATTTGAATGTGTCTATCCAAATGCCTTCATTGGCAGCCACTTACACTGTGGAGAACTAAAAGCATATTTCATATGGATACATGATTAACATTTGACAAAAAGTTCAACTAGAATTCCTAATAGGGACTCAGCCAGTTATTTCACTTTTACCATATTACATCCATTATCGCAGTAAATTTATACTGCCTTACTGTGTCCAAATACGTTCAACTTTGCTTCTGTGCTTTTGTTCATGCTGTTCAAGTAGCCTGAACATGCTACTTTCATCTCTGACTTTCGAAATCCCATCCTTTTTGGCCCTCTTCGGAAACCAACCTTTTGGCTGAGTGCAGTGATTATGCCTGTAATCCCAGGACTTTGGGATGCTGAGGCAGAAAGATTGCTTGCGCCCAGGAGTTTGAGACCATGCTGGGCAGCAGAGATCTCGTCTCTACAAAAAAAGTTTAAAAAATTAGCCAGGTGTGGTGGCACCACCTGGTAGTCTCGGTGACTCTGGAGGCTGAGGTTGAAGGATTGCCTGAGCCCAGAAGGTCAAGGTTGCAGTGAGTCTTGAGCATGCCACTGCACTACAGCCTGGGCCACAGAGTGAAATTCCAACTCAAAAAAAAAAAAGAAAAGAAAAAGAAACTAGCTTTTTCACGGGAGAGTCACTAATGCTGATTATCTCCAACTGTGAGTAAGCGTCCTTGTTTCTGCCCCAGGTTTTCTTACTCTTCTCTTGTTTATATATCATTAACAATACTCATTTTGTCTATATCCTCATGCAGTGCACTTCTTGAGGGCATGGTCTGTCCGGTGCCCCTTCGAATGCCCTGCAGCACAGATTCCCCCACCTTGCACACTGCGCATGTGTGTTAAGCAGAGTTGAATGCATGGATGTTGCTCATTACTTTTCTTTGAAGTATTCTTTCTAGGTTTGTAGCATCCCATGCCAGTACAGTCAACAGATATTTATTACATGTCTTGTATGTACTAGGTACCTGAAATACTCAGGTGAAAAGGAAAGGCAGTATCTCTGTCCTCATTTTAGTGTAGAGGAAGAAAACAATGGACATGTAAACAAGAAATCAGTGACAATTTTAGATAAAAGTAAATACTTTGAGGAAGACAAAGTTAGATAATGAGGTAGGAAGTGCCTTAAGGTATTGATTTAGTCAGGGAAGGCTTCTAAAGAAAGGGACATTTCAGAGTTGACCACTGAGTGATGAGAGGAAGGCAGCCATTTGAAGATCTGTGGGGACATTATTCCAAGCAGAAGAAACAGCAGGGTAAACACCCTGAGGTGGAGACCAACTTGGAGTGTTGGGGCGGGGGATAGAAGGGAGAGGGCATTGTAGACAGAGAAGTTCATGGACAAGGGGTAGACCAGGGCATTGTAGACTATGGGACTGTAACCACTTTTGGTAGTTCTTAACAGAGGAGATCAATATGAACTTATTCATGCCCAAATGAATTTTCAGTATTGTTTTTTGAAGGTACTGACCATGATGTCCACTAACTTGTTATAATGAGTTAGATGTTAACTTTGCCTTTGTTTTACAAATATAAGAAATTCTGTACTGGAAACAGGTATGTTATAGACATATGTGCCATTAATAATTACATGTTGGTAATGTTCAAGTTACTGTAAATTAAAAAAATCAATGTCACCGCTATAAGACTATAAAAATCAAATATGTTTCTAGTAATCTGCAGCTTTTAAGTGTGTCTTTTCTGGTTTCTGAGGTTGTGGAAAAGTGAATTTAGGCTATTTCCTCTTATGCATGTAATTCCATTTAGAGTATCTTAATTGGTCAGGATTACAGTAGTATATATTAGCTATGCATGTGTATGTCCATATCACTAGTGTGGCTTAATAAATATCTAATTAAATAATGGTTGAGAAGGACAAAAACAGAATATACCTAACCTTACAAATCAATATAAAAACACAGGTTTAATTTGATGTTACTTTTGCCTGGCACAGGCCTAGTGTTCCCCGTCATTCGCCTTGCTGGTGGGAGCAGTGTACGTGAAGGTCGGGTGGAGCTCTATCACGCCGGCCAGTGGGGGACCGTCTGCGATGACCAGTGGGATGATGCAGATGCAGAAGTGATCTGCAGGCAGCTGGGCCTCAGGTTTGTTTTTACTGCTCTTGTTTCGCTGTGTTTAAATGTTTGAATTTATTATTTCCATACCCAAAGGCAGGTGCTGTTTGTTTAAGTTGCACATTTTCCCGCACAAATGGAAAAAGCCACTTTTGATCTTTGTATGAGGCTGTACTTCCTGAAGAGCACTTATGTGTACTCTGTAGGTCTGTCTAATCTGCTTGTGTCTGAGTTAAGTTGATTTTAGGTCACTAGGAATCTAAGCTTTTACGACTTTTCACTAGTAGCTTGTGTATTATTCCCAGGCAATGACCAGCACTGTCAACTGTAGTTAATTAATCAAAGTAATATCATGAAACACTAGTTATTAGCTTGTAAGTCAAGTTTAACTCCTCATCCCCAAATATTGTCTAAACTTTTGAACTTCACTTCCTTATTTGTTAGGTATGTGCTTAGAACAAAGGATGTTTATTAATGTACAAAGGAAATAATTCCCATGTAGAGTTGGAAAGGAAGCTTATGCAATAAAGACAGCAATCTACAGATTGATATTCTGTGTTACCTCAGTTGTGATTATTCCGGAATATTATGTTATTTCAAGTCTTTGAACCCATCTATTTAGTGATTCTGAACATTGGTATAACAAGCCTAAAAGTTTCTTTAAAATTGTATTACAGAGTAATAGTTAATATTCTACTTCAAATTTTAAAAAAATATTTTATTTACCACTATCTCATCTGAAAGTATTTAGCTTTCAGGAGGGCCCTGATGGAGAGGCCTCTTGAGATCAAATCTTCTCAGTACACTTATCATTTTGTTCTGTTAACCATAACCCTGGCCACTGGAGCATGGTTTTTGAATCTTGAACCACTTATATTCAAATTTTGTTGCAATTTTTTCATAATTGGCCCCTCTCTTTTTCAAAACTATGTTTATATTGAAGTATTTTAAAATAAAAGCAGATATTTAAACAATTTATGTGTATTTACTTCAGTATGCATCTCTTAAAAATAAGAACAATAAGGCGGGGCTTGGTGGCTCATGCCTATAATCCCAGCACTTTGGGAGGCCGAGGTGAGAGAATTGCCTAAACCTAGGAGTTCAAGGGAGGCCGAGGTGAGAGAATTGCCTAAACCTAGGAGTTCAAGACCAGCCTGGGCAACATGGAGAGACCTTGTCTCTATGATAAATCAAAAAATTAGCTGAGCATGGTGCTGCATGCCTATAGTCCTAGCTACTTGGAAGACTGAGGAGGTTCTCCTGAGCCCAGCTTGTTGAGACTGTGGTAGCTGTGATTGTGCCACTGCACTTAGCCTGTGAGAGAGTGAGACTCCAACTCGGAAAAAAAAAAAAGGAACAATGTTTACATAGCCAACTTATTATGATCAACACTAATATGATTGGTAATCATGCTACATATTGTCTAATACTTCCTCATATTCAAATTTTCACAGTTGCCCCCAACAATGTCCTTAGCAGATGGTTTATCTGAAGCAGAATTTAGTCCAGGACAATTGTAGTTCTGAGAATATCCCATCTTTTGAATCTGTCTCATTTATTTCTGTTGGTGCCATTTATTTTACTCCTCTAGTTCTTATAATTCCTAAAATTAGAGTTCAAGTCCAAAGACTTGATTAGATCAGACCAAACATTTTGGCTAGAAGTCATCACAGGTGATGTTTTCTCATCTTGCATCTCATCAGGAGTCACAGAATAGCTCTGGTGTTCCCCACAGGTAAGGCTAAAACTGAGCACTGGGCTAACATGACATCAGGCTGATCCTTCACTGTAAAGTGACATTTTCCCCCATAGCTGATTCTAGGATCTAACTCATACATGGGACAGGAACAAGCTTGGCAAATCCTGTGTCAACAGATTTTACCATAATTACAGGTGTTGTTTCTTGCTATGGTCATTTTCTTTGCACTGGCCAGGATTAAGACCACTCTTTTGTTTTTGGAAAAAACTGTAATTAATAGTTACATTTTTCAGACTAGACATTTTAAGTGTTCTGACTGGGTATCAATTTCAAGACCAAGTTTCTTAAAGTTTCCAGGTCTTGCTGTTGGAGTCAGTGTAGCAGAAGATTATGAACATGAGATCTGGTCTCAGAACAACCTGGATTTGAATCTACTTTTGGAGTTGAGAATAGCTACAGAACATCTTAGTCATAGTTTTGTCATCTATAACATATTTCCTAATTTATAGGGTTTTGTGTCTACAGAGCAGTTAGTAAACATAGTAAGTATAATATACACTGGTTATCAAGCCAGTCTAATTTGCTTCTATGGATGTTATTAAGCATTAAAAAATGTTATTAAGCATTCAAAGTAAACGGAGTAGTGAGATAATCAAACATTATTCTTCTATTCAGAAATTCTGTTTAGTTAGGCTGTATCTATGATATTTATGTACTTAAAACACTCGAATGTGTTTATAAGTATGTTCACTGGGCTATCAATAATGTGTTTAGGGATATGCTAATTGGTTTTCATGAAAGTTACTAAGAAACCTGTCTTTGTCTTTGCCAAAAATATTAAGAACTTTAGAATATAATAATAGCATATTTAATATTATCAGTTACAGGAAAGATTATTCTAAGTTTAAGCTATAAGGCATTTTTGTTATTACTAACATATTTCTGTGGGGAAAAGGCAAGCTTTTGTTGCTTAGAAAATTTAAATGACACACTGAATAGTAGTTACATTTGTAGTTATCAAAGTGATTCTAACAATGTTGTATTATAGAGTTCTTCCTTGAAAGGCAAAGATTTGTTTAAACTTAAATATAAACAGTTATTAAACAAAAGCCATGTTGACCACAATAGTCAATTACACAGAAATAATGTAGAGATAGAATCACAAGGAAGACCACATGAATGTTGAACACATACATGGGTTAAATAAAATGTTAACATCTTTCATAAGCACTAGCTCGTTGCTATTTTTTACATGAGAGGATTTGTGTTTGGAGAAGTAATTAAAAGGAAAAGTATCTCCAACACACAAGGCAGCAAATATCTTCCACAAACTCTTGTAACAACTACCAATTCAGCTTTGTAGAGATTTGTTTTTATTATAAGTACTCTGATGCTGTGAGCTGATATTGTTCATTTGCCTTTCTTGCACTTGATTTTGTAGTAGTTCTCTCAAAAGTTTGCATTAAAGCAATATTCTACAACTCTTCCTCCTGTATGATTTGTTTTGCTCATTTAAAGGCTAAGTACTTTCAGATGAGATAGTTTTTTTAATGGCACATGGTTGATAGCAGACAGCATAATTGTTGATTGTCTCAATTTATGATTCATTCTTAAGCAAATTTCATCTCAGTCTTATTTGCTTTGTTGAATTCCCAGAGGGAAACTACATCATGCTTCCCTGGAGTAGTGGTTATAATTTCTTTGTGAGATGCTGTTTTTGTTGACCCCTCATCTTTTAATGGTGTCTGTATATTTTGGTAGCTGGCAAGCTTATGAAATACAAAAGGAATTACTGTGTTTAAGATACTTAAATTTGATTTACCCAGAACTTGGAGAAAGATGAGGAGCAGGAAAGGAGGTAGCCAGATGTTAGAAAATTAGATAACTTGAGAATGCATATGTACCCAGTGAAGTGTCAGGTGAAGACATTTTAATTAGATTTCCTTTTTTTCTGTGCTTCACATTAAAAGCATTTCTCATGTCTTTCAAAACTCAAAAGCATAGCTTTATATTGTGACATCATAGTTTACTGTGTGTCATAATTTCCATAGGAATTTTTAAATTCTGAATATTTTTTACCCCTTAAGTTTTTTGTTTGCTATAAAATGATCATATAGAACAATATTATTGAGTAGTCAGAATAAAAATTCTTCTGGTATTAATTGCTCTTAAAAAATTTTTTCTTGCTTTTTTATTTTAATGTTCATTCAATTTTTAGAAATGTTATATAAACTTTATAATAAAGAGACCTAGAATTATTGAGCAGGAAAGAGACCTTATCTAACAGATAAGAAAGTTAGACCTACTGAAATTACTCAATGCACCTGAAGTAACACGGTTAGTGGAAGGCAGATTCGTGAGGTATATAGCTCTCAATTTAGAATTTTTTAAAATGTTACACTATTTGTAAAATGCCATATGTTAATAAGAGCAAGTACAAATATAGGGCTAAAAAATAGGGAAGTTAAAAGAAAAATTCAATTTTTAGAAGAAAATTACACTGAACATACTTTAGATGAACTGTGTTTTAGGTGCCATAGGCCATCAGTTGAAAATATCCCTGAAAGACATCAAGCACCTTCTCAGACCACAGTGGAATAAAACCAGAAATTAACTCCAAGAACTCATGAAACCAAACAGAAACATAGAGTTAAGCAATCTGTTTCTGAATGATTTTTGGGTCAATAGAGAAATCAAAATGGAAATTTAAAAACTCCTCAAAATGAATGAAAACAACAGAACAAGTTATTACAACCTCTGGAACACAGCCAAAACTGTGTTTGGAAGGAAATTTATAGCACTTAATGCTTATATTAATAAGATAGAAAGATCACATATTGACAATGTAACATCACACCTCAAGGAACTATAAAAACATAAACAAATGAAGCCCAAAGCTAGCAGAAGAAAAGAAATAGCAAAGATCAGAGCAGAACTAAAAGAAATTGAAATAAAAAAACAATACTAAGGATCAATAAAACAAAAAGTCTGTTCTTTGAAAAGCTAAACAAAATTGATAGACCACTAGTTAGATTAATTAAGAAATGAAGTGAGAAGATTCAAATCAGCTCAACCAGAAATGAAAATGGAGACATTATAACTGATATGATAGAAATACAAAATATCATCTGAGATTATTATGAACACCTCTACACAAACAAACCAGGCAATCTAGAGGAAATGGATAAATTCTTGCAAGCATATAAACTCCCAACCTTGAATCAGGAAGAGATAGAAACCCTGAACAGATCAAGAATGAGTAGAGAGCCGGGCTTGGTGGCTCAGCCTGTAATCCCGCGCTTTGGGAGGCTGAGGTGAGTGGATTGCCTGA